CCTGTCCAGAAGTCTTGGTCAATTCTGTTAGCTCGCACCAGAGCCATCTCTAGTTGAAGCCCTTATGTATTTAAGCAGCATGGAGTTCCATCCACCTGCACACATTCCAAGTCACATGCAAATAAAATAGCCACCCCTTGTTCTCCTGGATTGTTGAGGCCTTTTGTTGTGCATTGTCAGCTGGGCTATGTCAACGCCAACTCTAAAGGATTCTGCACCAACAGGATCAGTGAGCTCAGGTGTTGTCAGATCCTAGTAGCGTCTTAACAGTGTTCTGCTAAGTGTAACATTTCTCAAATTTAAGTGGACCAAAAAGAAGCACAATAAAGGTTAACATCGGTCAAGCTTTTAAATCTTGGTGCTTCCATAAAAAAGCAAAGGGACTCAGTAACCATGCAGAGGTTGCATTTTTCCTCCTAGTTGGGTAAAGTAAATGTTTGCCAAAGCAATAGCATTCGCAGACCCTGCAAACAACTGCAAATAATAAAAAAATGGAAATAGGGTGTTTTAGCATGAGTGCATCACTTACTCGCTGGGAGGAGTTAAATTTGTAGCTATCCCCCTTAACAAAATACATTTTCCTTCTTTTTTTTCTTGAGAAGTTTATTCAGTTTAAACTTTAATCTATAAATCTGCTAAAATCAAAACACCATATTCTGTCTTAAATAACAGAATCACTCACTTCTACATATAGTTGGGTTCAGAATAAAGGACAGGAAAACAAAATGTATTGCTTTAGATGAAAGATAGATGAGAAAATCACATATTAAAATGATTATGAATACAATTATGACAACACAATTATGACATACATATATATGTATATATAATAGACTGTAAAACATACAGAAGTTAATAAATATAAAAGAAACATCTTAGTGAAAATATCTTCTCCAAATGATACAATATAAAAGCATCTAGTTCTAATTTAGAATAGTTTTGCACTAAAAAGTAAATTTGAAAGAAAAGATACATCTTTAAATAAATTGTATTGAAAGAGCTAAAGTTTTAGGACAGGAGAAAGACATTATTTCGTTTAAAATAGATATTTTAGAAACTTTCAGCAAATTTAAAACAAATATATCTAGAATAGGAAGACACATTTATTATTTATTATTCTTAGAACTTTCTTCCTGATTATTTTAGTTTCCCGGCTGATCATCGATAGCCGTGGATGCAAATGATGCATTGATTTCAGTTCCAGCTGTAGCAAGAGACGCCGACGTTCCAGTGAAGGAGCTGTCTTTGGGTTTGGGCCTGGGCTTCATCAGCTCCTCTTTGTTGCGTTCAGGTTTGACCAGAAGAACGTAGCACTTGGGAAGGAAGATGCAGCTGAGCAGGCCAAAGCTGGAAGCTAGAATGGCAAAAATCTGGACGGCAACCATAAACTTTCCTCGTGTGCTGAGGTAAGCCGGGACAAAGGAAATCCAGACGATGAAGAAGACCAGCATGCCAAAGGTCATACACTTGGCTTCGCTGAAAAATAAAATCAATAAAAACATGCATAACAACTAAAGAGAGGAACAGGAAGGGCAACCCTCATTGAATGTTTCATTATAGTGTCTCATAACAACAAACCACCATGTAGTTCATGAAGGTATCAACAAACACAAAGTGTAAGTAAATCCAGAGGAAATCTTACATGCCTTTCAAAAATGTTAAATAAAATTCAAGCAAAAACTGCATTTAGTGTTGTTCTTCTCCTCTGGGTCAATCATTTGTAGAACTCTATGCTGTATTTACACCTGAAGATGTTTTAGGTTGTGTCTCTACAAACTTTGCAAAACGTTCCTGATGTGAGATTTGATGAATAGCTTCTTTAAAGATCATAATTATACACAAAGATGCATTAATGGGAAAAATTGTAACGATGGTTAGATGTCCTTTGCAGCCTTTAACATGTTTTTATTCAGTCCCAAAATGTATTCCCCAACAAAGAAAAATCCTTATAAAAGCATGACACTGCAACCACTTATTTCTTGCAAACCTTGCATAAAGGCCAGATTTCAAGGGTTCTATAGAAATTTTAGCTCTCACAGATTCTCAGCTGTGGAACTCTGCAACTCCTCCAGACCTTGAATGGACCTCTTGACCTTTATTTTTTTAATTAATTAATAAATCTCCTCACTCTGTGTTTTAGTTTTAGGTATTCAGTCATGTCTCATTAGGTTTGCAGTTATGCCCCACTATTTTTGGATGATTCACTGAAAAATGCTGTTCGTCACTTAGATCAGGGGTCTGCAAACTTTCATGTCCAAAGAGTGATTTTGCCCCTGATTAAAACTAAGTAAAAGTCATTTAAGGCAAGCAAGTTTATTTAGTTAGTTAATTTAGTACAAGGATGATTCAAAGTGCTTTACATGTATTAAACAATAAAATCCAAGAAAAATAAAAGCAAAAAAAGAAGTTAAAAACGCTATAAAAGCAGGTAGTAAAACATTTAAAACACCTGGCCCGCAACCTTAAACTAATAATACCTCAGTTAACCGTTTAAATTCAACAGTCAAAGGCAGTTCTAAACAAAACCAATGGGTTTTTAACTTTGACTTAAAAAAGTTAAAAAGGCTTTCAGCACTTTCCAGTCTTGTGGGAGTTTGTTTCAGATCAGTGAAACATGGGAACTAAATGCTGCTTCTCCTTGTTTGGTTCTAGTTCTGGGTGGACAGAGTAGGCTGGAACTAGAAGACCTGAGCGGTCTGGCAGGTTCATACACTGATAACACATCTGTTATGTATTTGGGAATCTATTTAGAGCTGCAAAATATAACATCACTTTTTAATAAAACCCAACCCAATATTTATGTTAAATATCTACTTAAAGAAATCTGTTGCCAAATAAACCAACAGTTCATTTGTATCTTTAGCTTAAAAAAAAAAAAAAAGTTGAAACATAAAACAACTCATAAAAATGAAGCAAGGAGTTTCTAAAACAGGATATCATGAGATGTGAAAAAAAAGATAATATAATAAGAAAATATGTCTAAAAATATTTAGCTTATAAAGCATATTTGTTAACAAAGTATATTATTTAGTTCTTCATATAATTTTTCCCCATTGTTGAGAGCCGTTATAGAGGGTCCAAAGAGCCACATGCTGCTCTGGAGCCACAGGTTGTAGACCCCTGACTTAGACTATTGATCATAATTTAAACTATACGCTTTGCCTCTTGAGCTTCAGAACATAAACCTCTTAGGCATCTGGTTGGACTAGTTTCTATCCAAAAGGACGATGGCCATGCAAATGCATGCCATACTCTTTAAACTTTACTTTTTTCTTGATCTTTAATGTGTTATCCAGTTAAAATGCATTGGAGGATCTAGTTGTAACATCAGAAATTGTAGAAAGGTTCAAAGGGGTATAAAGGACTTAATTTATAACCTCAAAACATAAATCTTTTTCTAAGATACATACCTGAAGTGGTCTTCCAGTTTGCGGGCAGTAAAGGCAAAAATGAAAGCCAGCAGAGCCAGCAGGATGTCATACGCAAAGATGCAGCAGATGAAGATGACAGAGCCTTCGTCACACTCAAGAATGATCTTTATATTCTGAGCAGCGGTGTTCTTCACGGGGTGTGGAGGGAGGATGATGAGCCAAAGCGTGCATGCTACAGCCTAGATAGAGGGAGGATTGTTTCTTTGGGTTTTTGATCTGCTCAGATATCAGAGTTGTTTATCATATTCCCTTTTGTATTTAGTTTTCTACACTTGTTTTGATCTCATGTGACTGTTTATGTTTTATCTTTGTTATTTTCTTAATGTTGCTCACCTGTATTAATGTTGCCACAGCAGCCATTGCCCTCTGGTGACCAAAGGTGAGAGCGTCAACCTCAGGTTTATCCAAAGCACCTGCGTCATTGTTGATGGAGCTGTTTACTATCACATCAGGACTGCCGCTGCTTGCTGCTGCTTCAGCTGCAGCTTTTGCAGCTTTGGCAGCTGCCTTGGCTTTGGCCCTGGCTTTTTTCAGAGCTCGAGCTCTTAGCATTAACAAGGCTGCCTTACCTGGAGGAAAAAAAAAGATCAAGGCACCATGCATATCAGAAGATAAATAATAAATCTATGCTGTTTACTAACCCATAATGCAGGAAAGGCACAGAGCAAAGCCGAGAGCTAAAGCTACTTGGCTGGTCATGCAGCTCCAGTTTTGAGGCTCTCCGAGGAAGACGATGGAGCAAAGGAAGGTTACCACCAGAGATAAGAGTAGCAGGAAACTCAACAGGGGATCGTTGGCCTTCACCAGAGGGGTTCCAAGGTACATCAAAAACACCACCTTGTAGAAGAAATTTTAGGGTTAAAGTTTTTGCAGGAACTGTATATTAAAAGATGATTTGCTTCCTCACTGGCTGATACTGAATCAGATTAAACTTCATTTGTTTAGTATTCCTTAAATTATTTTTTGACTAAATTACACAGAGAAAATATTTTCAGAGGATTTTCTTTTTTTCCCCCTGCAAACTCAGAGATTCACATATACTAAGATTACTAGGTATCTATAAAATCCAAGTAAGCCCAGATGAAGGTGACATAATTGAACTTCTAATAGGTTCTTCACAATAACATTTACTTGTAGGCAAATCTTCAAATGCTCAGCTTACTTGTGTGACATCACAGAAAAATAAAACAACTCAGGAAGAGAATGGTGGACCTCAACAACTATGGCTCATCCTTGGTTATAATTTCTAGATGGCTGAGGTGCTACATGCATCTGTTCAAACAATAAAATGGAAATACAAACAAAATGGAAATGTCCAACCGTTTTACTGTTCAGCAAGGAGTTCTATACTGTAAAGATTTAAGCATTGAGCCCAGCATAAATGCAAAAGGCTCAGTGAAAACACCATGATAATTGCGAAATATAGGCATCATCTTGGGTTTTCTGTTTTGCATAGAAGTACTAGTGCACTGCATAATACAGATGGTATCACAAGGAGTGAAAATGGTGTGGAGAAATTCAAAGAAAAAAATCTTAAGACATCAGTTAAATATTTAAAGCTTGTGATAAAGGGTTAATGAACCTTAGCATGCCGCTAAATTAGTCACAATTTGCAAGATGGTGTTTAAACCGAATCAGTTACTCTGGTTCTGTTAAGAGAAATTAGTAAATTCCAACAAACTATTGTATATTCAGCACTATTTATGAATTTTAAAACTGTTTCCCAAATTCTATATGAATATACTTCAAAATCTGAAGAAAGTACAAAAAAATTCCCTGAAAAATGTTCTCTCTCAAATATAGGCTCACCAGAGTATAATCCAGATATAAAATTGCAAAACATTTTCCTTACCATCTAATATATGGTTAGAATGAGGAAAAATACTATTGTTTTCAAACTCTTCATTCATGCCCATTTCGTACAATATATGTAAACATTTTCTCCATAGATGTTTTGGTTTTCTCTGTAATATGACTCTCACCCCAACAGCTATGGTTATTAAAGCTCCAAATGCAGAGATGACTATCAAGGTAATTCCAAGCGGTTCTCCAAAAGCAAGGAACTCAATGATTTTAGGCACACAGGCATCATGGGCGTCATTGGACCAGTCGTCTCCAGTACACAGGATGCATTCACGGGCATCTGTCAAAGAAAGAACAAGACATTTAGAGAATTACAGAGGTAAGCAGGCAGCAGCACATTAAGCACATTAGAATAATTAATTTCCACTTCCAAAAGAAAATGGCAGAATGAACACAAGAAAATACTTTTATTTCACAAAAAAGAGGAGATTTATCAGGCAAACATATATAAAAATGACTCCGCTTGATAAAATTCTAGTAGAGCAGCTGAACGTGTTTATAGGAACTAAATGAGGAAGTATTAAAGGTTTTAAGGGCATAAAAAGAAACATAAAACAACTGTAACAAAGCACAAATGTCTGTTGATAATATTAGTTAAAATTTAACACACACCCATTATGAGCAGCCTACAATTTGGGGATTTTAAATGTTTATGGGTAAAGGTATGTCAAAGGTTTCCACATATTTAATGGACTGTTTTTTTAGTCTCATTTTTAAAATCCATATAAGTTTACCATATTTAACAAAGTATGCTGTTTTAAGTGTACAAATTTCTGTTTGTTTGACAGCACTGGTTTCCAGTGTTTTATTGTCATTACACTGTCACAAGTACAGAGCAACAAAATGAATTTGTTGCCAAAGCAGGCATTAGTGTGAAGGGTTTCGCCTTAGGACCCACACTGGCAGCTATTCTCCCCCCCTCCAGCTGGGATACAAACCCAGGCAGGACGGACGACTTACCACTTTAGCAAGACAGCTGCTAATAATTGAATTTTATTAATCTCACATTGGAGAAATGTACCTCTGCATTTAACCCATCCCCTTGGGGAGCAGTGGGCTGCCATTGTGCGGAGCAGTGTGGGGTTAAGAGTCTTGCTCGGAGAGCCAGATTGGCAGTCTGTGGGAGTGGGGCTCAAACTCAGAACCTCAGGATTCCAAACTCTATGCCTCCTCACTGACTGATTTGGATTATACTGGAGAAATTAATGAGAAATTGTAATAGAAATATGTAATAAAATTAGCAAAAAATGTAATTTAAGATCTTTAACAGTAAAATTTTATTTATACAAGAAGGGAAAGTATTTTGGAGTAACTTGTAAATAATGACAGATTGTAAGATTATCAGTTGAAATAAAAAAAATGTGATTCAAGTTGTGGTGTAGCAGTCATCAAAATAAAGGATATTGGTTATCAGGAATACGTTGACTACAAGACATCACATTGATGAGGGAGAGTGATAATGTTTTTTTGGGCAGTGGCGGCCTAGTGGTTAGAGCATAGCGCTTGGAATGCAAAGGTTCTGAGTTCAAGCCCCACTCCCACAGACTGCCACACTGGGTCCCTTAGTGAACCAAAAGACTCTTAACCCCACACTGCTCTCTGGGCGCCACACAATGGCCACTGTTCCCCAAGGGGATGGGTTAAATGCAGAGAGTTAATTTTGTTGCTCTGTACCTGTGACAGTGTAGTGACAACAAAAACCTGGGAAAAAAAATACTATAGTAATGCTTTGAGAGGAGACCAACCAATGTAAAAAAAAAACTCCACTTGTGACTAGAGGAGTGGGTAAATAGCAACCCAGTACTAGGCCAGAAACACCTTAAAAGCTAAAGGGGATTTAACCAATATGAGTTAAGGTGTATTTATTCATATATATTATTTTCAGAAACCTAAAAATGTTAACAATAATTGGAAAGGTGCACACTGACTTGTGGTGTTACTGATTTCTCCATCTGCACATGGGATGCAGTCAAAGCAACAGACGGGCTCCCCCTGCCGAATCCCCTTTCTCGTGCCAGGCTGACAGTCCTCACTGCACACTGACCGAGGAGGCTTGGACACACATAGGAGACAACTTTAGTTTCCGTAACACAACAAAAATATGGCTTAACTTTAATTGCTGTACTAACCGTTATATAACCGACTGACCTCCAGTTCCTCATTGTTCCAAACAATGGAGTCATTGCTTATGTGCATCCTCTCCTCTGGAGAGGCTGATCCGTTGTAGTGTCCCACCGTGACATAAGATATCTCTCCATTACCGTTCACTTGCCAGTTAATGATGTCATAGAAGCCCTCTATGTCACCGTCCTCAAAGTAGATCACCTCTCCCGTATTAGGCATTGTGTAACGCACGTTTTTCACATAATACATCAGCTGTGGAAGACAAAGTGGTGAGTTATGAGGACAATTAATACCACATAGTATAGTGAGATCTGTAATATCTATATATGCCTACCTGCCAGGGCTCAAAATTTGTGATGTTGGCACAGGTCCCTCCAACAAATGGGCCTTTTCCTTCTTCGCAGTGTTCCAGGTTGTGTAAGGCGTTGGCCACAGCATACACTGCTTTGTAAACACTGTGGAAACCATTTTTATTCCTTAATGTATTTTCTATCCAATACAAATTTTAAATTAACAGAATCCATTATTTATCAACTGTAAAATATCTTATTCGTAGGTCACCCAACAAAGGTTGTGCAAAAATCTTAGTATGAACACAGTAGCAGAATTAGTTAAAGAGGGGAAAAAGGTGGAGTGAGGACATTACAAGCATCGGTGAGTCCTTTAATGGTCGCTTGCGCTGTGGTTACTGACCTGTAAGTGATTCTTAACTGAGAGACGTCAGAGTAGGTATTATTGAGCTGAGCCACATTCTCACTGCCAGTGCACAGACCATCTGGTAACCCCTTCACTGTTCTGGCCAGTGTGCCGTTCACCTCCTTGGCTCTCGCTTTGGCCTTTTTCAGGGCTTTGCTATAGTCCAGTGTGCAGTTAAATAGCTAGAACATGTAATTAACATAAAAAATGATATGTCACATGGCCTGTTTTTAAGTTTCTTGCATCAACTTTAATTTAAACACACCGTCTCCCAGAATTCCTCTGTTAGGGCATCTGCATAAGGATCCAGATCCAACAGATGGCGCTGAAGACCCGGAATGTCTGCCTTTTTCACCCCAAAGCCGAGGGTACCGGACATGACTGAGTTCACCTTGTTTAAAAAAACAAAACAAACAAATTAAAGGGCAGTTCCTAACTTCTGATGTGGGCTTGAGAGTTTTAATCAGTATCTAACCCAGGGGTCTTCAACATTTTCTAGGCCAAGGACCCCCGAACTGATGGTGAGATGGTGAGACCACATACATGGGTGGTGCAATTAATCCCTGCACCACCATTGTTGATATTTAAAAAAATTATTGCCCGTGATAATATCTATGTAGGATGCAAGTAGTTACCTATTTCTGTCCTGCATGTGTCTACAAGAATTGACCTGAAACGGATGTCCTTTGGTTTGGGAGTATAAATGTATTGTTTTGTAATTCTAGGGTGGGCCTCAGTTTTATTTCTCCCCACAACATTTATAGCATTATCATTAAGACTTTCGAAACATTATTTATTTATTTTTTTGTGTGCTCCACACCTTGGAATAAACCTTAAACCATCAATGCACAGAACAGATGCTCCCTGATACCCCTGCTTTTTACTTGATCTTCTCTTCAATTCAGGAAGTTACGCCTGCAGGAACTACTCTAGATGTTCTATTCTCAGACTATGTTTCATAGAGTAGGATCAACACCTTCTATTTTTCATTTTCCTTTGAAAAATTCAATAGCTTCTGTGTAAATAATAAAAAAAAAGCAACCAGTCATGATTTAAAGCTTTCTTGAAAAGTATTTGCATTAAAAAAAGGCCATAATATTTTGATATAAAAGTTGATTAAAGGCTGTAAAAGTCTGTTGGCCTCTTTTTAGGATAATCTATTGGCTTTATCCTGCAGGCTAATCTGGGTTTATATTTTCCACATGCATGTAAGATAACAAATATTTCCAACCTTTCAACAGAACTTTCTATCTGTTATCCTGTTTGACCCCTTTGATCAAACTAAACCATATCTTCATTAAATAAGTTAAATGCCAGCTACTAACTTATATCTCACCCCAGGCTGGTTGATGAGAGCAGAGGTGACCCAGGCCTCGCTGGCGATCCAGGTGCGGTTTGTCACATTGTGGCGGAGAAGTTCGCCGATGAGAGGACTAAGGTCCACGTCTGATGAGAAAACCACGATGATCTTGGCTGTTGACTCAACCACAGTTTGAACGATGCTCTGGATGGCCTCCGGTGAGTTCACCTAAAGTGTAGACAAAGAACTAAATTCAGGACACCACACTGATCCAGCTGAAGGGTTTTGTGGTACAGAGACTGAAGGAATAGGTTTACCTTAGGCAGAGTTTCAGAGAAGGAAATACAGACTCCAGCTTCCTCCACCTGCTCCTTGAAGTCCTTGATGCCATATTTACCATAATCATCATCAGCAGCGATGGTGCCTACCCAGGTCCAGCCAAAGTGAAGCACCAGCTGGGCCATAGCGGTGGACTGGTGCAGGTCATTAGGAATGGTTCTTAAGAAGGTGGGGAACTGGAACTTATTGTTCAGTGCAGAACATGTTGAGGAGTAGCTGACCTATAGAAATGAGCAGCAAGTATTTGTTATCCTATTCTCCATTTCTCTCCTCCTTCTCTACGATTCTGACACTCATCAGTACCTGTGGAAAATGGTAGAGCCCCAGTATTCTGGCTGTGGCAATGGATAGATCAGAACCCCCGGCCCCCACTAGAGTGGCAAGAGGTGGTCCATTACCACAGCGATAGTTTGGTACTGCTTCATCTTGTCCCGTCAAGTAGGTCAGGGTTCCCTCCACAGCCTTAGAGATGGTGAAGCAGGAGTCATAGATAACATAACCCAGGTCAGTGTTGGGGAGCAGGTCATCCCTCTGGTTGATTTCATTGATAGCGAACAGCATGGTCTGCGTCCAGCGGAAGGTCCGAAAATTAAATCTGGAATGGTAGGAAAGTAGCACATTAATAGAGAGAGGGTCAGGCCAGGGGAACGGCAAGGTGAGTCACTACTCAGGGTCTCCAAACCAACAGTTGAACCAAGGCGGACTAAAACAGCCACACAAATCAGGCAAGAAAAATGTTTCCACAGCTATGGAAAAAATCTACAAAGACGATGCAACCAGCCGTTCCAGTGACTGTCAAACAGAAAATAGTTAAATCCCAATGTTTGGACTTCTGGTTTATTATCTATCAAAGTACTAATGAGGAAATGTGGACCTAAGAAGTTTTTATTACTAGTGGATTTTTTAAATATAACCCCTAAATGTTTGGGACAATCAAACAATTTTTAATTAGTCCAGTTTATTCTGAGTTTCTGAACCACAGCCAAATAATCAAACAGACTGGATTTGGATACCGGTCACTATAAGCTACCTCCTGTACATGGATGACATCAAGCTATATGCTAAGAGTGTGCAAGACATCGACCCACTAATCTACACCACTAGAATCTACAGAGGGGACATTGGAATGGGATTCAGGCTGAAGAAATGTGGCTGGATGATGACCAGGACGGGGGAGTTGATCACACTCCCAGAAGGAGGAATAACAGATGTAGAAGAGAGCTACAGTACAAATGGCAACCACCAAAAAATGCCACAAGGAAAGCTGCAACAGCCAAATACCTGCAACTAGTAAGGCGGGTTCTTAGAAGTCAGCTCAATAGTAAGAACGAAGTTCAGACAATCAACAGCTATGCCTTGTTAGTAATCAGATACCCTGATGGGATAATAAGTTGGCCCAAGGAAGAAATTCAGGCCACTGATGTATAAACACAAAAGCTACTCACCACGCGATGGAGGTTCCAGCCCAACTCCAGTATCCACAGTCTAAACACTAAACACAAAAGAGGCAGCAGAGGCCTCGTGAGCATCAGACACACTATTGAAGATAAAACATCCAAGCTCCAAGAATACATCAAGAAGATGGCCCCAAGGGATGAAGCACTTAGTGAATGTATCATTCAGTGGAAGCTGGAAGAGAAGAAACTGGAGAAACCACCATAGGAGGAAAAAAACCCTGTATGGGATTTTCCCTGTATGGCAGTGGTCTTCAACGTTTTCCAGGCCACGGACCCCCAAACCGATGGTGAGATAGAGCGGGGACCCCCTAATTATATATATTGTAAGAAATTGTGTTATGAGTACAGGACTTATCATTTATCATCTGCCATGTAAGGCAAGATCCCAGGCACAACTAGACCCCTGAAACAAGACCCCTAGGGGAGTGACGGCCTAGTGGTTAGGGCATAGAGCTTGGAATCTTGAAGTTCTGAGTTCAAGCCCCACTCCCATAGACTACCACTCTGGGTCCCTGACCAAAAGACCATTAACCCCACACTGCTCCCCGGGTGCCGCACAATGGCATCCCACTGCTCCCCAAGGCAATGAATAAAATGCAGAGAGTGAATTTCTTTGCTCTGTGCTTGTGACAGTGTAATGACAATAAAAAGCTGGGAGAATCCATCAAAGAAGGGTGTAAGATACTGACAGTAAAGGAACACATGGAATGCCATAACCAAGTGGCTGGCATAGTGTACAGAAACATCTGTGTAGAATACAAACTGGAAACCCCCAAGTCAAAATGGGAGCCACCTCCAAAGGCCACAGAATGGCTGTGGCCAAACAAGAGGACATTGCGATCCTTGATAAGCAGCAGAGGACGACCATAGCGACTGATGTGGCCATCTCAAACGAGGGACAGAGAAACATGAGAAATTGGTGAAATACCAAGGGCTCAGGGAAGACCTAGAAAAAGCCTGAAAGGTGAAAGCAATGCATACTGGGGGCAGTAACCCCCACACTATAATAATAATAATAATACATTTTATTTAAAAAGGCGCCTTTCTGGACACTCAAGGTCACCGTACAAAAGCATAAAAAGTGTCAGAAAAAATTAAAATAATAATTATAATGACATTTAAAAACATTTAAAAAATACAGAGGCTGTGACAGTGAAATTTATATTTTTAAAGAGAATAAGCAATCTTGAACAGATGGGTTTTGAGTTGCATTTTAAAATGGAGAGGACACTGGAAAAGTGGCTCCATCAGATACCAGGAGAAACATCAGAGATCACAGCTAAGATATTGTAAAGAACCCCTTAAACTCCCAGGCCTCTGGTAGAGGACCTGAGCTTGCCTTCCACCCGCCCAGAAACCTCCAAATCTTATCACACCTAAATCACTTTAACACAATATGATTCAAGCAATATACATTTGGTAATTAAATAACTGATGCTGCTTTTTAAATTGCAAACTGTCACTGTTAGTTGTGTTATATGTAAATGAAATATGTGTTTAAGCCTGAATGATATAAAGTAAATAATTGCTAGGCTGTGGTGATTAGTGTGGATCTGCTCAGTGTATGAAGGTTTGTTTTATTCAATTATCTTGTAGAAATGTGTATTCCCGGCCAACTAAGCAAATGTTTATTTCAATTGATCAGCAGCATCATTCTAATTAACACTTTATAGACTTGATTATATTTTCAAATTACGCAGTAAAAGCCTGTTTTTATAATAGCCTGACTAATACAGCTAATTGGCCCCAGAGGTCCCGGTGACTGTTATGTCAAGGAGTGAGATTACCTAAAGGTAGTTGATCTTTTAAATATATTAGCTTTGACTAATTCAGCTGATTGCTAAAACCTATAAACTTAATTGTAAAGCAAATTGACAATGAGAAGATTAAAAGTGGTCCTACTCACCCATCACAACCTGAGGAGACGGGTAGTTTGGAAGTGTTGCCATCGTTGGAAGCGACACGCATGTGTACAGGAAACATCCCTCCGATGACCACCCTCTTCTTCTCTACATTCTTGTAGCCGTTCAGGTTGAACTTGGCCTTCAGTTTGCAAGTGGATACAGCCCAAAGAGGTTTGTACACAAGGAAAAGGCAAAACAATCCAAGCAAGAAGCCTCTCATTTTCACACTTTGTGAATGTTGAACAGAGTCAGGAGATCTATCTCTCCCTCTCTCTCTCTGTCTCTCTCTCTTTACAGCAGTAAAGAAGTGAGCATCACTCTGTGACAGGTGTCTCATTTGTCCTCTGGGGAGAAGAGCAGCAAAGGTAGCCTTGCAGATTTAATGGAGTAAAACAAAAACACACCAACAGATAAATGATGAGTCATTTGACTTTAGCCGTTTGGACTAAAATAAAAGTACAACTTATATAATTTTTTTTTAAACTCCCACCACCATGAATCATAGAACAGCTTTTTAATCAATTGTAGATTTAAAAATGTCTCAGACTTATTTTTGAACATTTCTAACTGTATCCAGGAGATTTAGCATAAATGCACATTTCAGGGTTTGATTATTTCCAAGAAACATGATACATTTTCATTTCATCCCCTGGTCCCCCATCGTTTCACTGCTGTAAATATGCTTCATTATTCTGTGCAAACTGCCACAGGTGGCCCACTAATTGTCAGATGCGTGTGGTGACTTGTTAGTTACATCCAATGTTACATTTAAAACTGCTCTGAGATCAGCCCAGGTCCCCAGAGTTCTGGTTGGCAGTGTGATGGACCTGTTTGCTCTTGTCTCTCAGTCTGGGGAGCTACACACACCTGAACCTCCAGCAGACAAAAGCACATCGGCCGAACATGTTCAGCTATCAACAATATGGTGATGTGTCGATAAAGGAAACATCTGACATTCTTCCTAAATGTAGAACTTTGCAAAGTTCTCAACATCTTTGGCTTCTTCAGCACCTCCCTGTCCATGCCAAATCAAAACACCATCCATCAAATTAGCCATTAAAAAAAATAATTGTTTTCCAGATTACTTCATCAGTCCTTTAATTTGCGCTGAATTTTGATCCACCGTCTTGCTTTAGTTTATTTAGGTGTGCTGGAATTTGTTTGACGGTTTGATCACAAGATTTCAGGCAGTTTGAACTTTGATTAGGCCATTGCAACACTGCTCAGTCATTTTGCTGCTGTGATCTCAAACAATCCTGTTGATGAATATTTATTTACCCAATGGACAGATGGTCACACGCCTCACTAGAACATGGTGCTATCGGAAGGAGTGTGGTTGGTTTAAGTACTATATACTAAATGGGTTCTGTGGCTGCAGAATAAGCAGTATGAGATTTTTATGGTGTTTGCCATAGTTTTTCCCCAAGAGTAAATTGATATATGGCTGAGGAGGGCACATAAATTTGACAACTGTATGTTTACAAAAAGTGCAAAAGGAGAAACGTTCAAGAGGTTTACAGGAGTAGGGCATCCAACAAATTACTTAGAAATGTGCCACAATTCCCACAAAGGAGATGTGGAACCAACATTTGGTCCAAGTCAGTTTAAAATCTTATGGAAGAGGATTGGGGCCACTAAAAAAAAAAAAGTTGACAGATTTTTTTATTTTAATTTCAGTTTAATGTGTGTGTGTGTGTGAGTGGGGAGAGATCAGAATTCTGAGATTAAAGACAGAATTCTGCCTTTTTTTCCCCAAGATTAAACTGAAATAAAATTTAAAAATCTGTTAACTTTTTTTTTTTATTATTTTCACCCTAATCCTCTTCCATAAAATCTAGTTTAACAAATTAGTAAATATTTGAGTTGTGACGTTAAAGAAAAAAGAAAATAGTAAACATAAAGTGCACCTGGAAGGCAACACACTGTATGCCAATGTGAAATGTGACAAAACATTTTATTTCAACTTGATAAAAAAAAATGGAAACCCGAGAAATCCTATAAAAAAAATGAGGCAAGTAAATATTTTCTAAAAGCACTAGAAATAACCAACAGCGAATATTAAGTCTGATAAAGAACACATCAAATGCAGTTGTGATGTTAAGCCTGATAAGTGTACATCCATTTCTTGAACAAATAAAGAACAGAAACAATAATAGGAGTTTTAACATTGAGATCTTTATTAAAGCTCAGTTTTCCATTGTACAAATGTCATAATTGAAACTGCATGCAGTGGCTTGGTTTGAGGCACGTTACTAAGGAAAATGAACATTGCTGAGCAAACTTGAACAAAATCAAAGTCAGTATTGCATAACTTATTTTATTGAGATTTGAAAAAAAAAAATCCACTTAAGCGTTTTTTTAAATGGGGACTTGAGTAACATAAAGCACACGCTTAAAAAGGCAAAACAGAAGGACAATCACAAACAGCAGTTAAGGTTAGGAAAAACCAACAGAGATGAGAGGCACAGAAACAAATGGAGGAATCACATACGAGTTAAACATCTCTAACAGGAGACTACAAGCTTTTAAAAACTCAGTTAAACCTGAGCGCTGTATTCACTGAGGTCTAAATGACGAGAATGGAACCTGGAAATGATCTACTGAACGCTGTGAAAGTTAACATGTATACAACGGGTGGTAAAGTCTTTCTGAGATGGACTGCAATGAGGCAGGAGCAGAAACCAGCTCCCCTCAAACGGACCTTTAACACTACAGGACAGGGTTAAGATAAAGTGATGTCTTTGCTGATGCAGCACCGAGGGTTTATGGGTGACAAAAAGTGCAAAAGAAATGTGCCTCTGCAGAACGCAGGAGCAGCCAATCCATCAAATAACAGTAAGTGACACGATGTGGTTTAAGAGCTCTTACTACTGTAACTATAGGTTTGATATTAGTCCTTTTTGCCTTTATAATCTTCTCCATAAAAAAAGCACACACACTGCAGCATGAGGAGAACGGAACCCTCCTCTCTGGACAGAGTTCATGTCGTTTCACACCAAAGAAAGAAAAAAACTAGAACAGGCACATACATGTTACCAACCGCCTCCTTCACACGATTCATCAGTCCGAACGACCGCTGGGTGGACTGCTGTCTGAGATCGATGCACAAACAACCCAACAGCTCTTGTCCACAGATTTCACACCACAGCATATTCTACTTTTGGCAATAAAAAAAGAAAAAACAGAGAGCTTAAAAAGTGATTGGTCACTAGGCTGCCGATTAAGACAGCAAAAGTTTAACACAGTATGGAGGCTGAAGGGGAGCCAGTACAAATGGAGAGGATAGTCTTATGCTCAAAATATTCTTCACTACAAGAAACAGCAAAACAAAATAAAATCAAAGGCTGAGTTCATACCCCCTCCAACCCACTACTGCATTTTCTTTTATGACAACACTGTTTATTATATTTAATCCAGCCCATATTCAATCCTTAGGCACAACATCGAGTAAACTCAACCATCACAGCCTCTTACTGCTTGCCTTTAAAGGTTAAGCTTATAAAAAGGAAGCAGCAATTTACCTTTGTATAATAGCCGGGACATGTAGATGAATTAAAAATGACAACATATTAACCATAACTGACACTATTTAATCCATACCGCCAAACAAACAGAAATTAAGACCAGTTAGGAGTGGTGGGGAGTGCAGAACGGAGGGGCTTCGTCACAGTACGGTCTGCCTTCCATGGGAATGTTGAAGAGAAGGAGCAGGTGATAGAGGGGAGGAGGGAGGAAGGACAGAGAAATGGAGAGAGAGAGAGAGAGAGAGAGAGAGAAAGAGAGATTGGCTCCCCGCCCCCCCGTATCTGCGGAGAGTGTTTGTGCACTGCGTGTGGATGTGATATCAAGTCATGTTGTGGCTCTACTCCCACTCTGTGGTGCCGGGGGGCTTGGAAGTCAGGTCATACATCACTCTGGAGATGCCGGGGATTTTCTTGATTTCGTTTACCATCTTTAGCACCACCTAGTGGAAAAAGGAAAACATTACAACTGGAATCAGAGAACACAGTGTCATTAAATGTTTTAATCATTAAACCATCAGTGACAGTTTAAAAAAAAAAAAAAAAAAGATCACGACCTATGGGTGATAAAAAATAACTAATTTTTTCCCAGATCAGTGGAGTTTAATCTCCCAAGCCATAATGAGTCGCTATTACAACCTGATCTGTATACCGTAAATTCTCTAATATTGGCCTGTATTC